ATCGAAAACCCGGTTAAGCCAAATTTTATTATACGGGCTGGACGACTGTGAAGGGTCGGAGTTCGAGTCCCGGTAGGGTCAAGAATTTTAACTTCTCCAAATCGTCCAGACCGGCTCTGGGGTCCATCCAACCTCCTATCCAATGGGTACCGGGGGCTCTTTCCCCGGGGGTAAAGCGGCCGGGGCGTGAAGCTGACCACTCACCTCCAACTAGTGCCGAGGTCAAGAAAATTTGGATCTATACATCCACTCCCCCACACGCCTTAATGGCGTAGGGCTTAATTCGTTGAGCAGAGGAACAACTTTACCTTTTACCTTTTAATACCTTCATAATACTATAGACCTACCTGTATTTAAATTTATTCATCCTCATTTCTATGTCATCTCATGGCCTATTTAATACTTTCTTTACATTACACTCAGTATGAATTAGTTATTTCAATCACTGTTCAACAACATCCAGCACTTTTTACGGTCACACTTAACACTTAAAATAATTTAATACTGTCTTTTGCTTTTTCGCGGCATTTTCCTTTTTACGGATATCCGTACGAAGCCTACGTAATATTAGCTTGTCACTTAATAAACTGTCCTCTTCACTCTCAAGATAGTCTAGTAAGGATTCCAAATGATTAAGCGCAGCACCATGTGATACTTTCTTACTGGCAACACTGTCCACCTCTTCCTCATTCTCACTTTCTTCCCGCTCTTCTGGCTGCACCCCCATTGAAGTTACGATTTCGTCACTGCTTAACATTTCGAAGCCCGGTTCACACGAGTCACAGTTAAACCACTCTCTTATATTTTCCTCGTTGACTTCTTCACCACCATGAACTTGGTTAGCCACTTTTGTCAATTTTATGGCTATCTCATTTTCACTGAATCCAGTGAATCCATGGATTTCGTCATCTTCATTAGTGATGAAAGGCATCAGTTTCTTCCATGAATTTTTCAATACAGATGGCTTTACTGTATCCCACGCTGTTGAAATCTCGTATATGGCATCTAATACTGAAAAGGACTTCCAGAAACACGTCAGATCATTGCCTTCATCGATGTACTTTTGTAGCAAATTTGATCTGTAGATTCTCTTCATACTTGAGATAACTCCTTGATCCATTGGTTGGATAAGTGCGGTAACATTAGCGGGAAAATATTTCACAAAAATATTTCCATCATCTGACCTCAGGAGACTTTCGTTAGGATGTGAGGGCGCATTGTCAATGAGGAGCACAGCTTTCTCAGGTAGGCCTTGGGATTTTAGATGGTCACGAACTTGAGGCACGAATTTAAAATCAAACCATTCTTTAAATATCGCTCTATTCATCCAAGCTACTTTCTGGTTAAAATAATGGATAGGCAGACTTGAAGCTACTGTTCCTTTAAAAGAGCGTGGTCTTTTCGCTTTGCCGATAACTACTGGTATTAGTTTGTGTGTTCCTGATGCATTAGAACAGCACAAGACTGTCAATCTCTCCTTACTGGATTTGTGACCTGGAGCCTGTCTTTCATTTTGAAATGCCAATGTTCTGGTTGGCAAGCATTTCCAATAAAGACCCGTTTCATCGGCATTATAGATTTGTTCTGGCAGCAGATTTTCACTTTTCACAAAACTATCAAAATTGGTGCAAAATTGATCTGATGCTGACAAGTCCCCTGACAATTTCTCACCTTGAATACTGATTTCTCGTATTCCATGACGCTGCTTGAAACGTGTTAGCCAACCGGAAGAAGCGTCAAAACTCCCTTCTAGTTCAAGTGCTTCGAAAAAATATTTAGCTTGTTTAGCACAAACTGGTCCTGTTATTGTTGTTCCCTGTGC